CTGCCGGTGCCTCGATCTCCGTCTGCTCCGCGCTGAGCCGTTGGATGCGGAGCCTGTGAGCCGGGCCTGGCGAGGCGGGCGGCCCCCCACGGGCAGACGAAGCGAGACGCAGACTCGCCATGCCGTGGCCCCACTCAGCACCGTGGACAGCACCGCGTCACCCTCGCAACCGCAGCTCGTCCTTTATTATAAACACGTAAAGATGTATACACACACACATCCACAGCACCGTTTGGTTAATTCGCTGCTGGTCAAGTGAAGGTTGGTGAAGAGGGGGAGGTGAAGGGTTAAGTGAGATGACGTGAATGTTATGACTTTTATTTTACGGTCCTTGGTGACCGGGCGGAGACAATCATGAACTCGCTACGCCTGACAACCCCGTCGGGTCAGACCTGGACGCAGGATCTCAGCTGTGCCGGCTCACCGTCTCTGACCCCTGGGGTTGTCCGGCCACCTACGACACACACGCGTTCCTGCGTAATAACTTGGTCTCCAGAGGTAGCATCGACATCTCTACGAATAGTTCCTGGCAAAAAAATAACTCGGAGTAATTCTCACCTCCGTTGGCAAGCCTTAAACAGCGGTGCTAATTCAACGTTCTTATGCCAGACTTGGCAATGCTGTGGATTTCACACCTGATGATGATTGCTTGTGTTGCAGTCGAAACGTCGTGAGAATTTTATTGTTTAATATTTTTTATTATTTTATTGTTTCCCTTCTACGTGACTTTACCGAAAGAACCAAGAATATAATGCCTTGGAAGTTTGCGAAGACGTGTATCGCCAGAGGTAGTTGGTTGAACAGTTTATTTAGAATTGCCCTGTGAGCTCAGAAGCTCTTGAATCGGGTTTCATCAACGAAGCAAAAAAAAGAAGTTAAATTATAAACGCAACGTTTGCAACAGGTCGCATACACATTCTAAATACAATAAATACAGCAATAAAAAAGTCAACAAATAAAAAAAAGTACAATATATGACTTAATATTAAATTAAATATTTAACTAAAGTGAACATTAAGATTAGAGAAACATATTGCAAAATAGTGCATCTAAAGCGAGGAATAAGATTCGATACAATATTGCAAAACAAGGCAGAGTACGATATCGCGTATCCCACTCGCTGTGGAACCGGGGATGTAGGCGGATTTGTAAAAGCACGAGAGGTGTCGGTTATACCCATGCAGATGTACTACTGCTGGCCTGGGAGGCGGATGCGTGGTGAGGACGGATATCTGACGGTCGGTTGTGCCGACCTTCTTCTTGTGGTTGGTAGCCGCATGCGGTGGCCGGCGAGTGACAAAGGCTCGCGCCGCGACGATGTCAATTTATGTGGAAATGGGAAATAAATAAAAACAAAACCGACCTCCCTCGGCCACGTTCCCCCGCGTGATCTGCTACTGTAAATTCATCTAAATAATTCACGCGAAGCAATAACGATTCCTCAATCGCAACATGCATATTTAATGCCATTTTTGGGGGTTATCTGAAAATTCACATTCTCGAGGTGCCATCACGAAGGGCGGCGGTGGCGCAGCGTGGCCGTGCGATGCTACCCCGCCAATGGAGCAGCTCACCCGGTGCGCAGGCGGTGCCACTGCACCGGGGCCCTGCACCACTTGGCTGCTCTAAATTTCCACCTGATAAGCCACTTCCATTGGGCTATCATTCGTGGTCAGGTCGCTTCTGAAAAAGAGCTATAGAGCTCAGTGAGCCTTACCTGGTAAATATAAAAATAGTAATAATAGTAAAAGCCGGGACATATTATGCGAAAAGGATTATCTCACAATACCGAGAGAGGGGGAAGCTGAATGCGTTGTCTGGAGTGTTGCATTATTATTATTATGCAACTGACAAATGATCCGGGAAGACTTACAGATCTCCCCAGGTCAGCTACTGTCTCAACCGACAGGACGAGCCTGGGAAATCCAGGACAGGATTACTTGTTGAGTGTGCAGGCGGTGCAACTGCACACGGGCCATGGTCCCTGATGGTGGGGGGGGGGGGTATGGTGGAGGGGTTGGAATTGAACAGGGGGCGCACATTGTTGGACGCCACAATGACGAGATGTTAACTACCTCGCCTGGTATACAGGAGGTCGTGGTTTCATCCCTCGCATCAGCGCTCATGCCGACCACGCTACGCAAGTGTTGGCCAGTCGCCTCTTCTTGAAAGAGCAGTGTCCGGTCATCCCAGGGCACGACCCGGAGATTCTTTCTGCCCGTGTAAGCGATCAGGGGTCGATCGCCTGTGAGCCGCAGTTGCATGCCAGGTTCAGGTGTGGTGTTCCGACTTTGCGGCAGTCCTTAAGAACATAGAAAAGCGAGCAGCGCGATTATTAATACGCGTGTAAGACGATACGGAAAGTAAGACGCACCCCAAACTATTACTACTATAATGAGCCAAGAATGTCTGTTTGTGTGTAACGCACGTGACGTCACTCCACATGCCCCCCCCGTCATTAATATTCATGAGCGGGTCCATTTTTACACTCAGGCAGAAGGTCGAGCGGAAATAATTTTTTTCGCAAATTCGTTTTAAGTTTGACGTTTCTTTATTGAAAGTGAATCTAATAAATAATTATACGCAGCAACAAAATGTATTTGATGTCTTTATTTATGTCTTCAGCACTTGAGACAAAAGGTAAGTCTAATTTATGCTTCTACATTATGGTAAAAAAGACATTTCCCGGTGATTTTCCAGATATTGTATCGAATTACAATTTATTTCAACCCCAGCGACCGAAAGCAGAAGAGAATAAAGTATCAGAGCAGTGAATTTGAAAAAATTGAAGGTCAGTTATATACAGTGCTACAGTTCCATGAAGTGGGGTGTTTTATGGCAGAGTTGTCTTTGCCAGAATCACTTCCATTAATACAGTGCTAGAGTGAAATGCAGTGAAGTGTTTGATGACATAATTTCGTGCAAGATTAACTGCCATTTAATTTAAACATGATACAATTATACTCTGCTCAATTTTTTCGTAAATATTACAGCTTCCGTCCTAGGACGGGCAAAGATGCTAGTTGTAAATAAAGTTAAATAAATACATCTCAAGACGCATTGGACATAGAACACCCGTGTAGCCTTCACAGACGTTTTGGGCAAGTGCTGTTAGCGAGCACCTATGAAGGCCGTCAGGGTGCACACGGAGGTGGGTGGCCAGCACCACGCCTGGCCGCCTTTGTCTCCCAAGTGGAGATGTTTTTACACACCGCACCAGGTACTCATTTGAGGCTCAGTCGACCTAGGGGGGGCCCATGACTTGTCACAGGTGTTGGCCGTGAATGCGTCAACCACTACACTTCCGCTCCCCACTACACGTCACACGCACGCACGTACACACAGCTACCGGAGTACGTTACACGATGTTTGAGCACGCGTGAGCATACCGCGCGTGGCAGCACACGGAAACACACGTGATCTGTTTGAATGCTGTACACGTGACAGTTCGTGCAGTCTGCGAGAGTACACGCGGCCCGTGTGAGTGTACGTGGGTGCACACGTGGTCTGTGTGTGTGTGTATACACACGTGGTGTGTGTGTGTGTGTATACACACGTGGTCTGTGTGTGTGTGTATACACACGTGGTGTGTGTGTGTGTATACACGTGGTGTGTGTGTATACACACGTGGTCTGTGTGTGTGTGTGTGTATACACACGTGGAGTGTGTGTGTGTATACACACGTGGTCTGTGTGTGTGTATATACACACGTGGTGTGTGTGTGTGTATACACACGTGGTCTGTGTGTGTGTATACACACGTGGTCTGTGTGTGTGTATACACACGTGGTCTGTGTGTGTGTATACACACGTGGTCTGTGTGTGTGTGTGTACACACGTGGTGTGTGTGTGTATACACACGTGGTCTGTGTGTGTGTATACACACGTGGTGTGTGTGTGTATACACACGTGGTGTGTGTGTGTATACACACGTGGTCTGTGTGTGTGTGTATACACACGTGGTCTGTGTGTGTGTGTGTACACACGTGGTCTGTGTGTGTGTGTGTATACACACGTGGTCTGTGTGTGTGTATACACACGTGGTCTGTGTGTGTATACACACGTGGTGTGTGTGTGTATACACACGTGGTCTGTGTGTGTGTGTATACACACGTGGTGTGTGTGTGTGTGTATACACACGTGGTCTGTGTGTGTGTGTAGACACACGTGGTCTGTGTGTGTGTGTAGACACACGTGGTCTGTGTGTGTGTGTATACACACGTGGTGGGTGTGTGTGTATACACACGTGGTGTGTGTGTGTGTACACACGTGGGCTCTGTGTGTGTGTATACACACGTGGTCTGTGTGTGTGTGTGTATACACACGTGGTCTGTGTGTGTGTATACACACGTGGTCTGTGTGTGTGTATACACACGTGGTCTGTGTGTGTGTATACACACGTGGTCTGTGTGTGTGTATACACACGTGGTCTGTGTGTGTGTGTAGACACACGTGGTCTGTGTGTTTGTGTATACACACGTGGTCTGTGTGTGTGTATACACGTGGTCTGTGTGTGTGTGTATATACACACGTGGTGTGTGTGTGTGTATACACACGTGGTCTGTGTGTGTGTGTACACACGTGGTCTGTGTGTGTGTGTATACACACGTGGTCTGTGTGTGTGTGTATACACACGTGGTCTGTGTGTGTGTGTGTATACACACGTGGTCTGTGTGTGTGTGTATACACACGTGGTCTGTGTGTGTGTATACACACGTGGTGTGTGTGTGTGTGTATACACACGTGGTCTGTGTGTGTGTATACACACGTGGTCTGTGTGTGTGTGTATACACACGTGGTGTGTGTGTGTGTGTATACACACGTGGTCTGTGTGTGTGTGTATACACACGTGGTCTACAGTGCGTGTGTGTAGACACACGTGGTCTGTGTGTGTGTGTAGACACACGTGGTCTGTGTGTGTGTGTAGACACACGTGGTCTGTGTGTGTGTGTGTATACACACGTGGTCTACAGTGCGTGTGCACGTGTTTCCGGGTCCGTTCCGCCTCGTGTTGTGTATCGCGCTGCACTGTAGTAGCTGGAGCCGCGGCTCCGCGTGTCTCGGTGTGTCTCCCTGTGTCTCTCTGCGTCTCTCTGCGTGTCCCTGTCTCTCAGCGTGTCTCTCCGCGTCTCTCCCTGTCTCTCCCCGTGTCCCTGTCTCTCCCCGTGTCCCCGTCTCTCCGTATGTCTCTGTCTTAACGTGGCTCCGCCTCTGTACTTGTCCCGGGCCCTGAGTGTCTCGATCCGTCTTCGCGCTTCTCTGCGTGTCTTGAGTGGTTTTTGTTGTCTCCCCCGTGTCGAAATACGTGTCTCCGTGTCTCCCCCCACGTCTCTCCGTGTCTCTCCCTGTCTCCGTGTGTCTCCCACACAACCCTCGCGTCTCTCCCGCACGCATGCTGTCCACCTGCCCGCGTCTGTCTCGGCTCTGGCCTCTGTCGCTCTCCTTGTCTCTGTCTCGAGTCGTCCTCGCCGCCGCCGCCGCCATGGGGGACAGCTCGTCCCGGGTCTCCATGGTCTCCCCGGACCGCGCCCTGCCCGGCTCCGTGGAGCGCATGGCGGTGTCCGGTACCAGCCCCGCACCCTCGGACACACCACGCACACACACGAACACACCACACACACCACACACACACACGGACACACCACACACACACCACACACACATCACACACACACACATCACACACACACACCACACACACACACCACACACACACCACACACACACACACCACACACACAACCCACACACACACCACACACACACCACACACACACACACACCACACACACCACACCACACACCACACACACACACCACACACACACCACACACACACACCACACACACACCACACACACACACACACACCCACACACACACACCACACACACACCACACACACACCACACACACACACACACCCACACACCACACCACACACACACACCACACACACACCACACACACACACACACCACACACACACCACACACACACACACACACACACACCACACACACACACCACACACACACACCACACACCACACACACCACCACACACACACACACACACCACACACACAACACACCACACACACACACACACCACACCACACACACACACCACACACACACCACACACACACACACACACACACACACCACACACACACACACACACACCACACACACACACCACACACCACACACACACACCACACACACACCACCACACACCACACACACACACCACACACACACACACACACCACACACCACACACACCACACACACACCACACACACACCACACACACACACCACACACACACACACCACACACACACCACACACACACCACACACACCACACACACACATCACACACCACACACACACACCACGCACACACACCACACCACACACACACACCACACACACACACCACACACACACACCACACACAAACACCACACACGCACCACACACACCACACCACACACACACCACACCACACACACCACACCACACACACACCACACACACACCACACACACCCACACACACACACCACACACACCACACACACACATCACACACACCACACACACACACACCACACACACACACCACACACACACACCACACACAAACACCACACACGCACCACACACACACCACACCACACACACACCACACACACACCACACACCACACCACACACACACACCACACACACACCACCCACACACACACACACCACACACACACCACACACACACCACACACACACACACACCACACACACCACACCACACACACACACAAACACCACACACACACACCACACACAACACCACACACACACCACACACCACACACACACACCACACACACACCACACACACACCACACACACACCACACACACACACCACACACACACCACACACCACACCACACACACACCACACACATACATCACACACACCACACACACACACACCACACACACACCACACACACACATCACACACCACACACACACACCACACCACACACACACCACACACACACCACACACACACACCACACACACACCACACACACACACCACACACACACACACACACACATCACACACCACACACACACACACCACACCACACACCACACCACACACACACACGGACTGACCACACGCACCACACACACACACCACACACACACATCACACACACACACCACACACACACACTACACACACACACATCACACCCACCACACACACACCACGCACACACACACACGGACTGACATCCACATACACACACAACACACACACACGACACCACACACACATCACACACACACACACACCACACACCACACAACACCCACACCCCACACTACCACACCCCCACAGACACACCACACACACACACCACACACCCACCCCACCACACCACTACAACACACACCACACAAACACATCACACACACCCACACACACCACACACACCCACACCACCACACCACCACACATCACACACCCACCACACACACACACCCCCACAACCACACACCACACCACACCACACACACACCCACACCACACCACACAACACCACACCCACACAATCCACACACGCACACACAACACCGACACACCACACACATCACGCACCACCACACACACACACACCCACACACATCACACCCACACACACACACACACCACACACACACACCACACCACACACACACACGGACTGACCACACGCACCACACACACGCACCACACACACACACACCACACACACACCACACACACACACCACACACACACACGGACTGACCACACGCACACACACACGCACCACACACACACACACACACACCACACACCACACACCACACACACACACCACACACACACACCACACACACACACACACCACACACACACACCACACACGACACACACACACACACACCACACCACACACACACACCACACCACACACCACCACACACACACACACCACACACACCACACACACACCACACACACACACACACACACCACACACACACACACAACACACCACACACACACCACACACACACACCACACACACACACCACACACACACACCACACACCACACACACACACCACACACACACACCACACACACACACACACACACACACACACACCACACACACACACCACACACCACACACCACACACCACACACACACCACACACACACACACACCACACACACACACCACACACCACACACACACACCACACACACACACCACACACACACCACACACCACACACACACACCACACACCACACACACACCACACACACACACCACACACACACACACACCACACCACACACCACACACACCACACACACCACACACACACACACACCACACACACACACACACACACACCACACACACACACCACACACACACCACACACACACACACACACACACACCACACACACACCACACACACACACCACACACACACCACACACACACCACACACACACCACACACACACACACACACACACCACACACACACACACACACACACACACACACACCACACACACCACACACACACACCACACACACCACACACACACACACACACCACCACACACCACACACACACACCACACACACACCACACACACACACATCACACACACACACACACACACACACCACACACACACACACACACACACCACACACACCACACACACGGGGCAGGCCTCGGGAGAGGCACGGTCTGGAAGGCCAGGGGCCAGTGGCCTTAGGGCTTGTAGCTGTAGGCCTCGGCAAGGTAAGGTCAAAGTTAAATGGTTAAAACAACGAGCCTATGTTTACCCTACCTTTTACCTTACCACAATACAATCACTCTACCCTACCTTTTACTCTTTACCCTATATAAATTACCCGATCACAGGGTAATTACTAGGGAACTACACATGAACAAGGTTTATAACGGTAAATGCTAGGTAGAGCGCTTTATTCATATACAATACTCTCGATGATTCCAATTTTACACGCTTGTTGTTGTTGTTGTCATTGTTGTCGTCGTCGTTGTTGTATCCTCAAATCTTGTAACAAACATTTTATCCCACTTCCTAATGTGGTATCGACCGCAAACTTGGTATACTTATGTCATTCTGATGACAACACTATATTCTATCATAAAATCATTTTTTATATGTTATGTTTCAGCTTGGGTCTAATTGTCCACGGTCAACTCACGTTGGCTGTAAATCACCACGGCCCCTTACGTTGTGGCAAGCTTCGGGGCCACTTCTTGGAGTCGTGGAGTTCTGCCATTACGAGTACATTTCATAAAAGCATGTTTCTAAGAAAGTTTTTTTAAATATTACTTATTAAATGGAGGCCACGGACTGCGCCACGGAGCTTCTAGCGGTCAACAAGGCACCGTATTTACCGGGTAATACTTCGCGCTTCCTTTACCCTACCGGGTAATTCTTCCGAGCTACCTTTACCCTGTACCCTTTACCTTACCCCTTGGCATGTCGACACCTTGACCCTTTTACTCGGTAAAAAGGGTAAATTACCTTACCTTGCCGAGGCCTACTTGTAGGGCCACCCAAATAAATGACGTCACGCACCTAGGGGGGGAGGGTGGGTCAGACATTTGTGACAATGTGTGACGAGGGGGTTGAGAAATGTGACGGTTCATCAGAATGCGCAACTTTAAATAAATATAGACAACACGTTCTACTTAATTAAATAGACTTTTTAATAAATGTTTTCTCCTACAATATCAGAGTGCAGCGCCACATTAAATACGCATTACAATGACAATAGTTGAAAGCGATTTGAAGCATGTTTTATTTTCAAAATGGAAATATGCTTTTGGTGGGGTGGGGGCAGAGCTTTGTGACGTCATATTTGAAGGGGGGGGGTCTGACTTGTGACGCCGTGTGACGAGGGGGGGGGGGGGTAAAAAATCGTCCAAAATCGCGTGACGTCATTTATGGACGGCCCCCAAGACGTTGGTGGGAGAGCAGTGAAGGGCATGGCCAGGAGATGTGTCTAGCATCTGGGAGGGCACTGGCTGGAATGAACACGACTCGGAGTGTAGTTCTCCAGGGAGCTTCACCGGAGGGCTGGGCCAGAGAGTAGACCCAGTTCTTGGGAGGGCAAGGCTGGAAGGGGGGGGGCATGGTTTGTAGAGCTACAAAGTGTGGATGTCTCAGAGGGCAAGGCTGGAAGGGGGGGGCATGGTTTGTAGACCTACAAAGTCTGGAGTTCTCAGAGGGCAAGGCTGGAAGGGGGGGGGGCATGGTTTGTAGACCTACAAAGTGTGGATGTCTCAGAGGGCAAGGCTGGAAGGGGGGGGGGCATGGTTTGTAGACCTACAATGTGTGGAGGTCTCAGAGGGCAAGGCTGGAAGGGGGGGGGGCATGGTTTGTAGAGCTACAAAGTGTGGATGTCTCAGAGGGCAAGGCTGGAAGGGGGGGGGCATGGTTT